ATAGCACAGGTACCAGCTTCGCTGCAACTGTTGGTGTGACGATTAATATCTACAAGACGAAGTTCTTGACTACGCATTTTGGCACAGCACAACCACTGTTTATCAGTGGTCAACCCATCGAAGAAGTTAGCAGCTTCGGCTAATTGAGCTCCAATAGGCTAGCCAACGGACAGGGACCAAATCGCGCAGGCTCGAAATACATTTAGGCCGCTAGCCAGACCACCCTGGTCTCGCTCAGGTATCAGCTTACGTACGAAGCTGTTAATATACAGAGTACCCATCGGACCGGTGTTGGTATATGCCCGCGAAATATAGTCGGCCAGAAGGGCAGACATTCTATCGCTCCAAGTCTTTGACCGTTGGCGTCTTCAACACCTCCCAAGAGTCTCCTGGCAGGATCGAATTTCCAATGTTGAGCTATGTCGCAGGTGTTTCAAACTTCCAAGTCTAGCCTCATACATTCAGTATCGCCGATTACAATGCAAATTGGAAATACCGATATTCCGGTCGGCTGAAGAGGTGGCTCAACACTGTCAAGTCGGACGTCGAACGCATGGGCCTCGTCATCGTTTATAGTTTGCGACAATGGAACAAGCAATGGGTTGACATCTGCGAGGATCTCGCTTCCGATCGCCACCAATAGGTAGTCGCTATCCCTGACATACGTGAAGCTCATTTAGCCAATAAAAGAAGCTAAATGGATCAAGTAGAAGTAAGTAAGCACCAGCTAAAACCCCAGACGCGTTTTTAGTCGATATTCTGCTACTACATGGCACAGATACGAGGGGTTCGGCTCACCACGGGGTCCCCCAGCAGTTTCCATCTTCTTTCTGGTAGATATTACATTTTTAAAATTGCTGCTTTTTAATTGACCCAAAACCCCGGATCATACATTCCAACATTGAAACCCGACTTTTTTGAAAACGGGCCCTGCCATGAAGCGACAGGCCCGTCGCCCCATCGGCTGCGGATGCGAAGTTTAACACCCGAGATGGGTGTCGATAACTGATTAGGCCACAGAACATTACTTTTACTCTACACTTCGGAGGTCAATCTACATTCCTAGTGGACAATCGTATACTGACCAGCAATTATGCAGAGCCGACTAAAAGGATAGATTGGAATAACCATCTCAAACATCGACCAGACATGCCGAACTACAGGCCGGGTCGGTGCGGGTTTGGAATGTGGGTTCAGTGACTTATTCGGAAAGTCTAGTTTCGAAAAGGGACCCTAATTGACAAAGTAGCAGATAGTATTACCTGAGGTAGCCAAACTTTCTAAATTCTCCAATGTTCGGTCTAAATCTATCATGAACTCTTCCGCAATACCAAGCTGAAGATACGCAAAGCCGTGTTTGTAGCCACGCGCGGAAGTACGGATCGCCCATCAGAGGCCAAGGAGGGAGGCTGAGGCAGTACGCAGCCGGGACTGCATCCCGATCTGGCAGAGGTACCGGTGTTGAGAACATTCCCTCACTGAAACATGAGTAGACCACAGCAGCTGGCGCACACATACTGCTTAAAGTTGGAATACGACAGAGGAGGCGGTGGATACAGTCGTCACGAGGCTTTGATCTATGATGTTCACAGATTTTCACAGCCATCGTTTACATTGTTTCCCAGCCTATAATTTCAGCACCTGCTCGGTCTGTCACACGGTTTCTTCCTACCTAGCAACAACACCACCTTAGTCCGTCGTCTTTTTTTGGTATTCCGTCAACGCCGATACATGACTGCAGGAGCAGCTTAAGTCACTATACCACCTAACGGTAATATAAGCACTACGTGTTGGGCTAAAAGGGTTCCGGGCATCAAAAAAGTTGCATTGTTTACCTCTCAGATTGCTATCAGTAGAAGCGTCTTCAGAAGTCTCGTCACATTCGTCGTCATGCTGGCTATGCAGACCGCCATTTGCACTGCCATGTGGGATCTTGACGACGGTGGCACAGTGGTCAGAG